ACATTAAACAACATCCTCATCGAGCTGACAGGGAAGATGTCCCAGCTTGTTGGGTGTCCTTAAGTACACGACTCATCTGCATAATGCATCTGAGCATTTTGAACAGTTTTCCTTCTTTCTTTGAAAGTAAAGAGAATAATGCTGCTTTTTGCTATTAAGTTTCAACAGGAATTTGTGAAACGGGCCAATAAATTACATTTTGCCGACAACAGCTGACATATTTAACAAAACCGTGAACTGAAGGAATGCGTATTGCCTTAAACACCAGAGTTTTAAATTAATGGAGTTATAGTCATGTTGGTCAAACCTTAAAAATTACATTAGCTTGTGTTTGTGAGATCTTTACAAGATGTGTTGGATCCTGCAGTTTGAGCCGAGAGTCACTCTCTGTTATCACTGCACCAAATATGAGCTCAAACTATGAGAGTTAGAAATATTTGTGTTGGTCCAACGTGACGGGTCACATTTAAGCTTATAGCTTTTTGTTGTTTTTGTTAAGTTTGATGAGATGTGGAGGACACCKCGGCTCAAGTTCACTCCCAAAGTTAATTATCTGTTATCTGATAGTTATCTGATAACTATCATAAAACTGATCAGTTATCTTATAGTTTCAACAAAATCTGTAAATAGGTTTGTGAGGTTTTTGCTAACAGAGAGACAAACATGACACACAAAGGGTAAAAACACAATACGTTTCCAGCACCAAGTATTAAGTATTTATGCTCTTGATATACTGAAATGGAAAAAGACAAATATAGGCAACAATTAAATTGTTTTAGGTTTATGGATTAATTAAAAAAAAATTAACCTAAACTTCTAATACTTTGTTGCACTTACCATAACTGGTCAGTAGAGGGCAGTAAAATCAAACCGGAAGCTGTGAAGATTTTGTGCATCTCATCTTCTGTCTGAGAATCTGAGCTACACACAACTACTCCTCATCCTCACTTTGAACCCGTGGCAACATTTCAAAGGTAACACTCTGCTTTAGTTCACTAAGGAGAATCAAAGCTCCAGGTTCAGCTGGTCTTTTCTCGACTTGACTGAACTCACTTTGCTCGTGGAACCACCTCAGCACAGTGACCCTTATTTGGTGCCACCTTACTGAATTACTCTGTCAAGATCAGCAGTTCAGTTAGAGAATTAAATTTTATCTATTGTGATTTAATCTGATTCAGTTGTTTACCTTGTGCTCTGAAAGCAACTACTTAACCTGTCAGCATGACCTAAAACTGTGTTGAGGGGAAACAAACAGTAAACACTTGGGCTTTATACACTATGAAAACTATATGTTTTCTGTATACGATTTAAAAAGCAGGGGCGGAGCTAGAATTTTTTGCAAGGTGGGGTTATAGGGTGGYACATAGAAATAAAGATATACATWTTGAGCTGAAATTTGGTGTGGTGGAWTTGTTGCTTTTATATTAATTCAGCTGTTTAGAAAAGTATTATTTTATTCTTCGCACACTGATAGGTTCCCTMTRCACTAGATAATACAGCTGCATGACAGATATTTATTTTTGTTTTAGCTCTAACTGACCATATTTTATTGTCAAGTGCGATCCCWACACYCACTTGTCAATCATWTGGAGTGGCCAATCAGGTGCCARGGGYGGCACTTGCCACCCTGGTCTACCCTCTGGTTCTGCCCCTGCTAAAAAGCAAAAAAGAAAACTCTTGCATTCCTTTTTCCCAACCCTGGTGCTCAAGGACTCCTGTCCTGCAAGTTTTAGATGTTTCTCTGATTTGACACACCTGGTTTGAACGAATGAGTGATTAACAATCTTCTGAATGATGAGATTAAGAGTAGGGCATTTCTATTAAAATGACTTTCTATACTGTATTTAATAGGAAAAGAAAGTGTGGAACATGTTCTGACGACGTGTAAAGTATACACAGCTGGAAGAGAGGATGAGGGAAAAAGTAAGCGAGGTAGGGTTCGATGAGTTTAAAAGGGTGTAATAGACCACTCTATGAAATTAGGACCTGCCCAATCTCACAAAATAATCCCTCAAGATCTTTGCATTATGAAATCCCAGACAATGACAAGATACCCACTCTGATCATGAATGAGAAATGAAAACTTGTGACCTGAACGTATTTCCAAAATAAAGTAATTTATTTTTAGATATATGAACAGGATTAAAC